CATTCACTAAATGCCTTCCTTGTCAGTCCATCCTGTGAGACAGAGGACACAGGCACCACAGGGGAAGAAGGAAGGCAAGCCGGAAGGACCTTTGTTTCCTTTGCCCGGGGATCATTGCCAGCATATAAACCAACCCTTCCCAGATCCGCCAGCCCTGAAACCACCAAGATTGAGGAGGAGTCAGAATAAAGTTTACACAGTTGTAAGTCAAATGGAAAGATAGAAAATGGAAAGTGAAAAGGATGACCTACACAGATCTCTGCCATTCATTTTCAATGGCATTTCTTTTGTGAAGCTCCCAGTTATAGCTTTGGACTGGCTCAAACCTTAAAGTCAGTGCCATTACCATGGGCGAGGTCCCCAGCTCCTGCACCAGGGGTCCAGAGGAGCAAAGAAAGACCCCACAGGCCAACATCACTCCACGTTTTGTAGACAATGGTGTGACAGGTTCCAGTTCCCCCTCAGAGTCTCATGCCTTGACCCGAGGTTTCTACCAGTGCCTGGCCACTCTCCATCCCTTCGCCCTGTTGGGTTGTCATTAGAACTTGGGTCTATTGTAAGCTCCAGAACAGTAGAGACCCACAATGATATCCCCATACCTGGGACAGAGTCTGGCCCATAGTAGATCCATGATAAACGTTTGTCAGCTGGGCTTCTGGCAGCAGTGTCTATGTCCATCTGTGGGCCATGGCCAGCCAGAGCCAGTGGGTCTCAGGGGTGTCCATCCACCTGGGTATGGGAGCCCCTAGAACTCAGATGTTGATTACATGACGGTCCCCATGCAGTGTGCCATCAAGGGAAAAGCCAGAAGGGTAAGGGAGTTGTTTCCAATTCTAGCTTCCAAAAACTACAAAAGAAGGTGCTTTTCCTTGCGGAGTAATAAACAAACAAACCCACACTAGAGCTTATTAACCTTTGGGACAGATAGCTGAGTGTCTTCCACTGCAGGCTGGCTCCGTATGAGGGCACTCACGTGGCAGTGTCTGCTAGGAAAAGGAGACAGGAGTTCTCTAGTGGGAGGGGGAGATAATCTCCCCCTCTCTTCCCTTTCTGTCCCCTCTTCTGTCCTCATCCTCCCTCCCCTCCCCCCTCTTCCTTCTCTCTCTTTCTCTCTCTGTCTCTCTCTCCCCACCCCCACCCCCAATTCTTCTCCCTCTCTCTTCTCCCTCCCTCCCTTCCATCCCTCAACATGCTTTACAAAATAAGCCTTGGCTCTATTCCCTGCCATCCCTCCCAAGCTATTTCGTTTCAATTTCCCTCCAAGCCAGAATGCTCTCCTCCAGGGCATCATGGGGCCAGGAACTTCCATCTGGATCAGGTTGGAATCCAGGAACCTTTTGTGGGCTTCTGTCCCTGATCACCAGCCCTCTGCCTCTCCCCAAATGGAAAGCCTTTTTGCCTGATTCAGTGGTTGAATCAGTAATGAGACTGCTCTTCCTCTGCAGTGGTGAAAGAGGAGCATCCAGGTGATTGCGCTGGGGTTGACAGGAGACATTAGCACGTGGTAGCTGATGGATGGAGCTGGCATGGTGCCCAGCCTGGTCTGCTGGTGGCCCTGTACTGGGCCCAGTTGTGTCAACAGGCAGTGGCAGGGTTTGCATGGCCTACCCTTTTGCTTCACCTGCCCAGCACACAAGATGAGACACTTTCTTTCCATGAGCCCCCAGAAATAGGAGGGGGCTACAGCTTCCAGAAAGGCAGTCCCAGGATTTCCTAGGCTGCCCTCTTGGCTAAGCCCTGTCTGTGAATGTGGCCTTTTGTCTGAGTGGGGCTGGGATAGGGTGTGACAGAGGAAAAGCCAGGCATTGGTTCTCTGGAAGACTTCCTGCTGACTACAGCCCTAGACTCACCATGGTGACTATCATGGGAGAAGCACACCTGGGCTCACACAGGGCCCACTTGGCAGTACTGCTTGTCAATGTCACTTGGCACAATAGGATCAAGTGCCAGGATAATTGCAGCCATAGAAAATAGAGTCATTTGATGACATCCTCCATAACTTTGCTTATAGAAACCCACACGGCCTGGGTCATCCTTCACAAGAAGGCAGAAAGGCAGTGTTTCAGTCACGGCAACAACTTTCAGCCACCATTTCCTCCTGGTCACTGAAACCATTTGTCATTTCCTGTTTTCTCCATTTTCCAAAGATTCTAATTGTCAGTGTCAAAAGGCAACAACTCCTAGCTCTTGGGAGGCCGAGGCGGGCGGATTGCTCAAGGTCAGGAGTTCGAAACCAGCCTGAGCAAGAGCGAGACCCCGTCTCTACTATAAATAGAAAGAAATTAATTGGCCAACTGATATATATATAAAAAATTAGCCGGGCATGGTGGCACATGCCTGTAGTCCCAGCTACCCGGGAGGCTGAGGCAGAAGGATCACTGGAGCCCAGGAGTTTGAGGTTGCTGTGAGCTAGGCTGACGCCACGGCACTCACTCTAGCCTGGGCAACAAAGCGAGACTCTGTCTCAAAAAAAAAAAAAAAAAAAAAAAGGCAACAACTGCTTTCTTGGGGCTTATCTTTGGAGCACATTGATTCAGAACAAAGGATGGGATCCTCCTCTGCAAAACAAAGGAAGCCTCCTCCGGAGGCCCAGAGAATGCCCTGGCTCTTTCTGCCAGGGACAACAGGACTGGGCTGGGAGCAGAGGACTAGCAATGCCCCTGGACACCCCAGTGGGGATGAAGAGCCCACAGAAGGCCCCCACTTGCTGGTGGCACCCCAGATGTGGGAGTCCTGCAGAGCTGGCACCAGCACCAGGGCTAGGTGTCAATGGTGACATTTGCCTTGGCAGTTTCTGTAGTGATGCGCCTGACCAATTTTTCCCTTCAATGCTGGGTGCTCTGAATATGTGCGTTCTGGGACGAAGACATGCCAGCATCCCTCTGGGTTCCACCCAACCAGCCTTTCCTTTGGTCTCTGATGCCTCGGGCTTGGCTCCCTCTCTCTCTTTCTATGGACTTGTTGCCACTCCCCCTGCTCTTCCCTTGTCACACTTCTAGCTTCCGGCTGCCCGCATCCCCACCCCTGTACAGCTGTGTTATTTGCAAATGGGGCAACCAGTGGGTATGGAGTTAGGGTCGGTGGAGACCTAGCCCACCACACAGGCACCTGTCCCCAAAAGCGGTGGAAACACCCAGTCTTCAGTTAGTAGACATCACATTCCATAGTCATGTCACTTTGGACAAGTCATTTAACCTCTCTGAGCTTCAGATGTCACATCAGTAAGCTGGGGACTGCAAATCTTCTACCCTGATGTCCCAGGCTGGTGTAAGGGTCAAGGGGCAGAACAGAAGTGAAAGGGCTGCCTTCAGAAATGGTCACCCACCCTGAGCACCTCAGGCAGATCAGATGGCATAGCCTTGGGTGGTCACTTGATCCATGTGCTCCTGGGTGTCCATGTGGGTTGTTGCTAGAAGATATGAAACAACGGGTGCAAAATGCTCAGTAGAGCGAGCACTTAAGAAGGCAGTCCCCACCCCGCCAGTGCTGTAGCAGGAAGAGGGCAGCTCTACGGGGTGGCAGAGAAACAGCCCCCCATGCCCACACAGCAGCCCGTTGGAGGGGACAGAGGGGAGGGATAGGCAGGAAGCAGCTAAGGGCGGAATGGAAAAGCAAAGCCCAGTCCAGTAAAATCACTTCTGGTGTAGTCTTCCCGATGCCATGTGCTTGTCCTCTCTGCCTTGGCAGGGACTGAGGCCAGGAACAGCTGCCAGGCCTGAGAGCTGGGCACACTCCCAAGAGCCGGCCCTCTACCCAACTCCTCTCATGCCAGCCCCACTGAGCACAGAGAAGGGTTTCCTATAAGCCCTTTTCTGGAAAAAGCAGGTGCTTCATGGGCGAGCCATGTTGCAGAGTCACGGCTGCTGGCATTCAGGGGGATACAGGCCAGAAAGTGGACTCGGGGTATGTGCTCCCTGACATAGTTGCCATAGTGAGCAGAGATGGCCGGGCTACCCCCACTACACGGGGAGAGGCTTCCAGCACTGGACTGGGAGTCAGACCCAGGTCCCAGTCACAAGCTGGCACTGATGAGCTGAGGCTCTCAGAGCTAGTCATGCCTTCCCTGGGCCCTAGGGCCTTCATCTCATTCCCTCCTGGCTATGTTCTTCCCGGGTGATCCTTGAGCAGATCCCAGACTGAGTGCTAGGACTGTGGCCCTGAAGGCCAGCTCCTCTCCTGCCTACCCAGCCAGCTTAGAGATGGAGACAGAAAGTTCCTCCTACTTGCCCATGCTGTAGCCAGTCAGGAGAAGGGGGAAGTTGGCACAATGAGTGTTTGGCTACTCCTGGTGTTGGACACTGTATCTATCTGACCATGTGATCATCTGGCCGTTCATGCCAGGACCACCCAGAACAAGGCTCGGTCCTTTCCCCATGACAGCCCTGCAGAGGCTAGGCACCCGCCGTTGCATAGCCCAGAGTCTGCTCTGCCCTGGCTTGCTCAGCTATTCTTTGTCTGGGTAGTTTGAAATCCAGTCCCGACTCTCATTGCTTTACCCGCCTCTCAACAAAGCCAGTCTGTCTGGGTCTCCCTGAGATGGGCACATCCAAACTCCTTCAGCACTGTGGGCATGGTCTGGCCAAGGCAGAGTAGCATAGGACTGTCACCTCCCTCCTTCTACATACTCTGCTTCTATTAATGCAGCCTCATGTTACATTTGTTCTTTTGGTGACCACATCTCACTGCTGACCCATCCTGAGCAGACAGGCATCCAAAATGCCTAAATCTTTTTTCTGTGTGCTCTTGCTATTAAGCTCTGTCTCTCCTGCCCCATCCTATGCTGTTGCAGTTGCGTTTTTTTAACTCAGGTGCAGAATCCTACTTTTATTTATACCTGTGGAATTTTGCTCGGGAGGGTGGGCATGCATGTGAGTGTGTGTTGGTGTGTTCACCCATGCTTTCTGCTACACCAAAGCCAAGTCCTAGGTCCCCACATGGCGATCCTATGGCTGATATTTTTTGGTAGCTGTAATCTAATGTCTTTTTCATCTTCTGTTTAGCAAGAGAAACAGAGATCAGGTCTTATGGCAATGACCCCTGAACAGCAGAGTGCATATATCGCCCAACAGATGAGTCAATTTCAAGGTAAGTAGTAAGGTCAGTATTCCCAAAGGGGCAGGCAAGAGGGTATATACATAGAGGTATGGTTTGAATTCATTTCAGAGTAAGCAGTTACTGTCTGTGTTCCTGGAAGCTTTGAGGGAGAGAGGGAGGTCTGAAAGTCAGTTAAACAGGATGCAGGTTGGATCTCTCACATTAGTACTTCATCCAACTCTAAAAGGAAAATCCCAATTGAAGGCCCAGGCTTAATGGCTCCAAAATCACTGTTTAATACAAGAGATTGATTTAACTGAGTCAGGCCCCTTAAAGCAGCTATTCTCAATGAGATAGGGGCAGGCCCCTGAGTGTGCATCAGAACCACCTGGGGGCTGCCACACCCCCTGGGGTTCTGAGCCTGCCTTTCCCCTCTGCCCCCCACAAAAACACTCTCACACTGCATTTCAAATGGGTCCCTGGGCCATCTGTCAGGTATGAGGAATAGAAAAGGGGCTGGGGAGGCTCGGCTCCAGAGTCTGTGTTGGAGGCTCCCAGAGCCTCCACAGATAGCAGGGGTCCCCACCCTGCCATGAGTGGCATCTATGAGTGTAACCAACAACAACAACAAAAAAGCCAGCCATGTGTCCTACTTCACGGTGTCCTGAGTTAAGCAATCCTTCCAAGTCACTGAGATTGGACCAAGCCAGGGAGCACTTAGTACCGGTCTGGCAACCAGGTAAGGCTGCTTGCCCTCAGACAGGTGGTCAGCAACCTCACTGTAGCCCACACCATTGCTCCTCCCCTATTACAGTTCAATTGAACAGGTTGTCTGAGCCCCAGATCTGGGCTCAGGGGCCATCTAGGCTGGCGGGAGCACCAAGGGGAACAAAACACCATCCAAACTCGCTCTCACCACACTTGCTATCCTGTGCACCCTTTGCAGAAGCTGAGAGGCTGCACTAGCTTCCCCCAATGGCACCCCACCCTGCTCCTTCCTTCCTTCTGCAAAACATGCACCATCTGTCAGGGGGTGCACAGGGTACCATGTGCAAAGGAACACACAGACCCCAGCTTTATGGAGCTTCCGATCTACCTGAAGAGGCAGACAAATCAGCTGGTGCCTGAGTCCAGCATGATCTGCTCTTGGTAGAGGTGCTGTAGGCCCAGACGTGGGGAAGTCTGTGTGGAAGTCTGGGAGGGCTTCCCCAAAGAGCTATAGTCCAGGCTGAGGGCAAAGGATTAAGGGGAGTTGAGAGGAATTGGGGAGCAGAGGAGGCTCAGTAGGGAGCCTGAGTCAAAGATGCCTTTGAAACTGACCCCCACTCTCTCTTTCTGTAGCCGTCCAAGAACAAGTCACCTCCAAGTGTAGCCAGACCAAGGCAAGCCCCTCATCCAGCCAGCACATGATGCCACCCCAAACTGGACTCCTTCAGAAAAATCTAAGTCCAGGAATGATCCCACCTACCAGGCACCAGAGCCATGAGGACGCGGGCATGATCTCACCAACTACAGGGAAGCAGCGTGGAATTTTCAACTCCAGCCCCCAGTTTCCCATACCCACACGTTCTGGCCAGAACCTCCTGAGCAGTCTTGGCTCTGTCTGCCGGCATATGCAGAATCCCAAGGCCAACCCCCCGGGAGTGCCCCTGCCTGGGTTCTGTCCCAGCCTTCTGGGAAGACAGGCCCTGAGTCCCCACCAGCTCAGACAGCCCAGTGTGCCAACAATGCCCACTGTGTTCAACAATGCCGGATGGGTCGCAGTGGCAGCAGCTGTGACCACAGCAGTTTTGAGGGAACCACACCCAAACCAAGCAGATAATAGCATTCAGCAGCATTTTGATAGCAACTTAATCTTTGCCAAGGCACCTATGAGAGTGCCATCCATAGCCCCAGCATTCCTGTCGCAGCAGGCAGTTGTACCCCCCAATCAGATGGCCCTAGGAGGCAGGCCTGGCCAGAAGTTGAGTCCTGCCCTGGCCAACTCTAGCTTCAGCTTGCTGGGCAACCAAAGCCTCAGGCAGAGCCCAGTGCGGGGCCCGGTGCCTGTACTGAGCACTACGAAGTCCCTCCAGCAGGGCATGGCCAGCTTCCATCCCATGAGTCCCATACAAGGCATTGAGCCGCCAAGCTATATGGCTGCTGCTGCTGCTGCCGCTGCTGATTCTGCCATCACTGCTAGCCAGTTCCCAAGTCCATTCAACAGAATGAGTACTCCCCTTGAGCTGCCACCCAACAACGTTTTGCTGCAGCCCCAGCTGCCGCTATGCGATCTGATTTCACCACCTAACTGCAGTGAGGTGGATTTCATTGAAGGTCTCTTGAAAGGCTCCAGCGTGAGCCCAGGTGAAGACTGGGTGTACAACTTGAGGCTGATCGATGACATTTTGGAACAGCATGCTGCTGCCCCAAATGCCACAGCCCAGAATGCTGGCCAACTCCCCCAGAATGCTGGGGAGCTTTAAATCTGAGCAGGCTGCCCATAGAAGCCCCCATGTTGGCATTACTAGGGAGTGGCATGAGCCATAGCAAATTCACACCTGGCCTCAGACAGCTGCAGTTGTCTCCTCATTACCATTTGAGTGGCACAGGCCCATGCCCATCCTTCTCTCTACCTGTGACAAAATGGAAAGCTGGTGATTTTTCAAGCTACTTATACATATTTGAAAATTTTGTAAATGGTTTTCCTAAACATTAATGACAGAAGTATTTATACTTCATTTTGTGACGTTGTAAATAAAGTGACAGCTTTTGTTTCAGTAGAGTTGTGTTTATTACACATTGTTACAAATATGCAGACTGTGTTGTTCACTCCAGTGATACCTTGTTGAGCTAGATGGCTAAGTTGCTTATGATTTTTATGCAATGAGCGATGTGGATGTGACCAAGAGGTGTTGGGCAAACTGACAAATGCCAAATAGAAAACCACTTGGCCATTTATTTCCATTTTCACTAAAAATTCCATCGCCTTGTGTGGTTCTTAATTTCTTTTGCAAACCTTTCAGTCTCCGCTAGCTCTTTCCTAATGAGCATTTACAGAAGAAACCGTTTTTTGTCCTTAAGTGCCCCGCAGAGACACTTTGCCAAGAGGCTGAGAGTTTCTTACATCTGGGAGTGGCGCAGAGACAGCGCAAGCCGAGCACTGAGCCCTCCCCTGGAGGAACTAGAGCGCCCTCCTACCTTTATGGTTCAGGCAGAGAGAAGGTGCCAGCTTATCCTTGCAGGATAAAGGCAAGCTGGTCCTGGGTTAAAGCCTTTCAGTATTTGTTTTGATATAAGGCTCTGTGGCTTGGGAAAAACATCTGTAAACATTAAAAGTTGATTTGGGGCTTGTCTTTGATGGTTTCTATCTGCAATTATTGTCATGTATATTTAAATGTCCGTTATAGAAACCCACACCCACTGTCCTGTAAACTTTTCTCAGTGTCCAGACTTTGTGTAATCACATTTTAATTGCCACATTGTATTTTGCTTCTACATTTGAAATCTGGCATCTGTTTCCAGCCAGTGTGTTTTTTCTTTGTTCTGTAATAAACAGCCAGGAGAAAAGTGCCTCTATGTTTTCATTTATCAAGGGGGAATTCAGTACCTACGAACCCAAGTCAGCTAATCCCACTAGTGTCTTTGGTTCTTCCATGGGCTGCTCGATGTCTTGTGCATCGGAAAGATGCTGCACCAAGGGGATAGAGTGGCAAGTTTGTGTAGCATGTGCTGTGGGAATTTCGTATCACAGCATAGAACCATGTTAACTTTGACCTAGCCCCTCATTATATAGGGATGACGCAGAGGGGACGGGAGGCCACAAAGGCAACTCTTCACTGGGGGCAGCCGGGTGGGGGCTTGTGCTGAGAAGCCAGACTCTCTGAACCACCTTTCTCCTTGCCTTGCTGAAGACCACACTTGCCCTTCTTCAGCCAGCCCCTGCCACCTTTGAATATGGAGTGACAATGAATCCAAACAGAACTGAGTTTGTTACTTTGTCAACTTGATATCTGTATGTGGCCTCAGAAATCGAGGGAGATAATACAGACCACGAACCATGGAAGAGCAGGAAGGCCTAAACTTACAGGGCTGCTGTGGTTCCTTGGAGAGTCTGACACACCCAATTAAAGATTCAACTCTTCCCACACAAGAGACACCATATAGAGTGGCTCTATGGGGATGGAGGGACCCTGAGGCAGGTGAAATGTCTGCTGCATGGGGGAATGAAATACTTTCACTTCACAAAGACAGCCAAGACCCTGGTAACACCAGGCAGCTGAGAACCCCTGCAGTGCATGATCCTAGGAAAGGAGGATCTTCCTGCCGCCCCTGCCCTGTTGCTGGCACAGAGCCTGGGTTCAACCCAGCCCTGTTCCCTCTGAGTGGTGGAGCCAGAAGGGCTCAGGGAGCCTGAGGTGTGAGGGTGACGGGGACAGAGGGGAGGGTCAAAGTCCCCCTGATTTGCCTTCATGGTCCAGGATGCCGGTGGAACGAGAGTTATTGCTCAGGTTTGCACAGCCATCCCACCCCTGTGGAGTCCTGCCACCTCCCACGGAGGCACACTCTGGCAGTCCCAGCCCAGCCCCTTTAAATCTTGACCTGCTGCCGATCCTAGCTGACTGGGAAGCCCTGGCCCACTTTGCCAAGGCACCTATGAGAGTGCCACCCGTAGTGGCATAGTAAGTAGCTTTGCTGCAGGTGGCTGTTTCCTAGTTTAAAATATGCAAAAACAATGGGGCTCCTGGGCATCTCATCCTCAGGCCCACCCCCATCACGGCAAGAAAGTGGCTCCCACAGAGCTTCGAATTTGGCTATAATTGAATCTCATTCCAAAGGGGACCCTAATAAGGCAGCTGAGACCTGTGCCTCTCCCACAAGGTGGCCAAGACCTGGTGGGCAGGAAGCAGGGCTTCACAGAAGGAACCATATGTCTCCAAAGGTGGGACACACACACATACCCTCTATGTATTGTAAGTGTGCAGCTAAAGCAACAGTTGGGATCAGATGTGGTCAGAATTGAATACATCATCACATTTATCCCCCTAACTGGCTGGCAGAGTTGATATCCACTTGCCTAATGTATAAACTATTCCAATGTGATGGCAACTTTCAGGGGCTGAGAAAGGCACGTGCTCTGAGGCAGACCTGTTGTGTCCAGCGGAACCTAAAGATACTCTAAGATGTCCCCACCCAGCACTCTCAGTGGCTGTGACTAAGGGCAAAGGTGGATAGGATGGAAGCAGCCTCTGCAGTCTTGGGTCCAGAGGTGGGCCAGAGGGGTTGTGGAAAGAGTCATTAACCAAAAGCCCTGGCTGTCGGCCCACTGCTCACACAGGCCCCTCCTGCTTCCTGCTGAGCATTCCTTGTAGGTCGTGTCCCACAGGTGCCCTCAGCCAGTCATCACTCCCCATTACCGTCTCTGCTTCTGAGCCCGCTGGCCCTGCAAGCAGCCTCACTGCAGCTCCCGGGGTTCCCCCTTCCTCCAGTGCCACAGCTGTGCCAGGTCCCAGGCAGGCCCCGCTTTCCCTCAAGGCCACACCAGGGTACTTGGACTCAGCTGTCCTGTCCTCTCTGTCAGTGAGCCCAGGGCCAGCAGGGCTTGGGCGCCAGGAGGCCCATTTGCCCTTCCCTGGCCTTGTGGTACACATACCTGCCCATCAGGTGCAGAAGCCTGTGCCCTGCAGATGCCCCAGCCCAGCCCTCCCAGTGGGGCCACCTCAGCTGCCTGAAAGCCTCATGAGTCACAGCTGTCCCCACTCAGCTCTGCCAGCCCTCAGAGACCCAATATGAAAGCTGAACTTGGCCCACTGAGCTATTTCTATCTTCCATTCTCAGAGGGTTCAACTTCCCATCCCAACTACATTCAGGGCTGAGCCAGTATGGGCTCAGTGCAGACCAGTGCAGCCAGTGCAGACCAGCTCCCTGAATGCTTCCTGCCACCTGACCACAGCCTGGCCTCACTGCCCCCAGCAGTCCCATCCCTGCCCCCCTTCCTCCTGGTGGTGGTTGCCCCACCATTCTGCCCTCACTTAGTTGTCCTCTCACTGCACCAGCAGCCTCTCTGCTAGGTGCCACCTATAGGCTTTCTACCTGGCCATGTTAAAACCACCCACTCAACCCTACAGCCCATCGAGTACTAGCTCTAGCTCTCTGCTGCCCGCAGCCTCAGGCAGGCAGTATGGCCCGCAGCCTCAGGCAGTATGGCTCCAGTCTCGGCTCCTTCCCCCTAAGTACTCTGGTCAAAATGCCAACTTCCTCCCAGCCATAAAGCCAATCAAAGCTTTTCAGCCCTCGGCAGACTTGTCCCTACAGCAGCACTGGACTCTCCCTCCTCCCAGAGACCTGCTGCCCCTTGGCTCCAGGGGCCCATGCTCTGCTGGGACCCATCTTTCCCTCTGGCCTGCAGCCTGGCCTTCTCTTCTGCCCTGAGGCCCACTCCCTCCTGCCCCTCTATAAGACGTTACTCCTTCCATTACTTCCTTTCACTCAGCTAGGACTCCCTCATCCTCTTCCCGCCTTCTGGCTTCTTCCCCTGGGCACATTAACTGGTTCCAAACCTACACTCCACCACCTCAACACCTTGACATCGTGGTTGAGGAAAGCATGGTGTGTCTGGTCAGGGACCTAACTTTCAGCCCCCAGGGCAGAGCTGCTGGGCTCGAGGCCACCTTAAGAAAGGGTGAAAGAGTTTGGAAGCTACCTCCCATGGTAGAGGCCACCTTCATCTTACTTTGACAGCAGCCTTGCCTGGGGCCCCTCATGGGCCCTTCTTTCTGGCTGCAAGTTCTTCCCTGAGAGGACTCTGGGAGAGAAGGCACTCAGCTGCCCATGGTCCCTGAAGGCCTCCCCATGGGAGGTACAGAAAAACCACAATCGCTAGGGGAGAGATGGTCCCTCCACAACCTACACCATCATGCCCTCTCCTCCCCAGGGGATACTGCCAGAAGTCCCCAGGGAACAGGGAAGTATATGAGACCTCAGAATCTCTCTCCTCCCTCAGAGCAGGCTCAGGGCCCTGGAGACCCCAGGGCCAAGGTCTGTGTGTAAGCCACTGTCTCTCACTTTTCCACCAGCAGAGTAAGCCAGGGCTCGGGCACTAGACATGAGGTCCTGAAGAAGCACGTATGATTGACTTACCTAGTGTGTGGCCATTCAGTGATTCAACAAACACGTGTGTGCTAGGTGCAGGGAGGTAGACAGACATGATCCCCAACCTCCTGGAGTCAGCCGGGGGAGCGATGTGCATCCACCAGGATTCTATCAGAGAAACAGAGCCAGCAGGTGTGGGGTAGGGGCAGAGGGACCTGGCCAGGCAAGTCCAAAATCCATAGCACAGGATGTCAGGAAGGGCAGGCTAGAACATCGCAGGGAGAGCCAATGCTGCAATCCACAGGTAAAATTCCTTCTTCCTCGGGAAAATCTCAGTTTTGTTCTTAAAGTCTTTCAACTGATTGGCTGAGTCTCACCCAGCTTCTCCAGGATAACCTCCCTTACTTACAGTCAACTGATTGCACATGCCAATTACAGCTTCAAAATACCCTCACAGCAACAGATTACTATTTAATTGATGAACTGGCCACTATAGCCTGGCCAAGTTGACATATAAAACTATCACAAGGGGCAGATGCTGTAAACTCATTAGCAAAGTAGTAACAACTTGTTTTAAGGTCTGTGAAAGAAACACAAAAGGCTCAGAGAGAGAGAGAAAACAAGAGGGAGAGACAGCCAAGCATGGTGGCTCACACCTGCAATCCTAGCACTCTGGGAGGCCAAAGTGGGAGGATAGCTTGAGCTCAGGAGTTTGAGGTTGCAGTGAGCTACAATGACACCACTGCACTCTACCCAGGGTGACAGAGTGAGAGTGTGTCTTAAGGAGAGTGTGTCTTAAGGAAAAAAAAAGAGGAAGAGACCCTAGTTTGGTGGGGCTGCTGGGAAGTGGGGTGCCCAGGAAAGACATCTCTGAGAGGGTAGCATTTGGGCTGAGATCAAAAGATGGGAAGGAATAAGCCATTCAAAGAGCTGGGATGTTCCAGGCAGAGGGAACAGCAAGTGCAGATGCCAGGAGGAATGGGAAGGAGGCTGGTGGAAGAGGCCCAGGGAGCAAAGAAGGGAAGGCAGGAGAGGTTGGGGAGATGGGAAGGCCCAGACAATGCAGGGCCCTAGAGGCTATCCTGATCCCACAGGAAAGCTTTGGGTCACTTCAGTGCCCATGTGTACAATGGACCTCAGAATGAATGAAGGAGCCTCCACCTACCGGGCTTACCCCTATGGACTTCCCAGGGATATCTCCAACCCAAGAGATCCAAACAAACTTTTCCTAGTTCCCCCAGTCCTGGTTATCCTACTCAGTGCAAACCAGTCATCACACTCCTATGCCCTGCTCCTGAATGCCTTGAATCCTCTTGGTCTCTGAATTTGGAACCTGGGAGTCACTCTTGATATTTGCCTTTCTCTTACCCCTTCTGTGTCCCATCAAGGTGGGGTTCTCCCCCAAATGAATCTGCAGAGACTCTGTTATCATTGTAAAAATCCCAGTAGGATTGTTCCTAGAATGTGACAAAATGCTTCAA